GCTGGGTCATTTTCCATTTGCATAAAACTGATCAGGGCAGGCTGGGTCATTTGCCATTTGCATGAAACTGATCAGGGCAGGCTGGGTCATTTTCCATTTGCATGAAACTAATCAGGGCAGGCTGGGTCATTTGCCAGGGTGTCCAAAAGAGGGTGATGTCTTGGTATTCCACCAGTGAGCCATGGGAACCCTATGAGTCCCATGCTAAAGGCCTTATGTTGCCCAAACCAGCAAGGAATGAGTTAACATGCAACAGTTATTCATCAACAGGTTTTCATCTAATTCCTATTCTTCCGCAGTTTGTCCCAGTGTTTGTAACTTGTTGATCTTGGAATTTCGTTGCTTGTAATGTAGGCAGACGCTTTCTTGATGCCTCTCACATAGGCTAGCCTGATGTAAAGAAAAATGCCAGTACTAAGGAGTTTCTTAAAGCCACCAATCAAATTCAAACATGCTTGGGATAACTGAATGTGATTGGTAAAGCAGGACACACAAGCTTCAGAAAGTACTACTGCCCTCCTATTGAATCTGTAAGGTGTTCTTTAAATGCAATGGAATTAATGCATTAAGGTGGCCATACACTTTACAACCATCGCAAGACCACAGTCTTGTAAAGTAATTTAAAAAACGTACGATCTGCCCATCTTGGACAGGCAGATCGTACTTGCGATCATCGCAAGCCCACCCCGCTGAGGGGCGGGCTTCCAATTACCGCAATCCCTTTACAACCATCGCAAGACTAAAGCATTGCGGTCATCGGAAGCCCGCCCCTCAGGGGGGTGGGCTTGCGATGATCGAGAGTGCGATCTGCCTGTCCAAGATAGGCAGATCGTACGTTTTTTAATCCCTTTACAACCATCGCAAGACTAAAGTCTTGCGATGGTTGTAGAGTGTATGGCCACCTTAAGGCTTGGGACAAATTGCTGCTGCTGGAATCTCTGCTTACAAGCTGGATACAGCTTTCTGAAGATACTTTAAGGTGCCCATACACTGCACGATTATCGTACGATAATCGTATGCGATCGGTTTTTCGTACGATAATCGAGCAGTGTGAACGGAGACGTGAGACCGTTTCTACGGTTTTCGAACCAGCATGTTCGAAAACCAGCCGGGAATCGTACGATTCTCGGCTGGTTAGAACGGTGCTCGGAAGATAAATGCTGAACGGGCCGGTGTGCGCACGCGCACACTGCCCGTTCAGCATTGCGGTCATCGGAAGCCCGCCCCTCAGGGGGGTGGGCTTGCGATGATCGAGAGTGCGATCTGCCTGTCCAAGATAGGCAGATCGTACGTTTTTTTAATCCCTTTACAACCATCGCAAGACTAAAGTCTTGCGATGGTTGTAGAGTGTATGGCCACCTTTACACTCTGACTTTTAATATTCCGGTATGTTTTTTTTTTCATTTGTGCTAACAGGAGCGATAGCACTACACAGCATGCTCTAGTGATAGACAACATTGTGTTGTCTATCAGAGTGTGCTGGGTCTCACTGGGAGGGAAACTATGCTTGTTAACTGCAAACTGGAGCTTGGTCCAAGACACCACTTGGGCCGTCATTATTGATTACATCATCCCCCGTGGCTGCTTTAAATCATTCTGTGCTCTGCTGCATCCTGCTACCAGGAATCTGAGACTTGTGATTCCATTCATTATTTGCTGTTACTGTGATGCTGGGATTCATAGCTACATTCATTCTAGACTGTGTCTGGTCCAGGAAACATTTTTATCTTGAGTTAACTCTTTATAGCATTAGACTGATAGGTAGTGCCCTGGACCATTGTACTGTAGCCTTATATTTACCTCTGATGCAAGTTTTCATTCACACCTTCAACAAACAAATTATCATGTAGATTGATTGTGGAGGATTACGTGCAACCACCTCAGCTGCCTTGCTTTGCCACCATTTTGTAGACTTTTGTCTTTTCTTAATTTTTGTATATGTATAAAATATCTTAAAGATATACATTTAACACAATACATTGGGTAAGATTGTGGCAGGTCCCTGTGTTATACAAGTCATATAGGAACATCATCAAAAAAGGTAATGTTCTCTGGAATATTGCCTGTGCCATGCGCACCACAGGAAGGACAGCGGGAGCTTAGAGAACTAAACACATGGCTGAGGACCTGGTGTGAGAGGAAAGGCTTTGGGTTTCTGGATCACTGGGCTGATCCTGGCCAATCAGCATCGAGCTGGCCAAACAGCATGGTACCGGTTTCCTGGCCAATCAAGAAGCCGGGCGGCGGGTAATGACATGTCGCCCAGCTTCCTGATTGCCTGGGAAGCCAGCTCCATGCTAGTGGAAGCACCAGTATTCAGTATCGGCGAGGACTTAAAGATAAATATCGGTGCTCGTACTCGAGTTGGAGCTGAAACATTATCAGTAATTGTACCAAGTACACTTCTTCGTATCTAGACATCCCAAATTAGGGATTAGTGATACACCAAAAAAATCAGTATCGGTGTATCCCTAATCATAATAATTAGGAATGTCCAGATACCAAGAATTGTACTTGGTACAAGTAGTGATAATGTTTTAGCTCCAAGACTAGACCAAGTACAAGTACTGATACCAATTACTGATATATTTTTATTTAGTGTCATGTGAGTTTTTCTAAAAATATACGGACTAATGATTTCAGGACAGTGGTGGAGCACCAGAACTAGGTCCCAGCTGTAACCACTGTAAGCTCTCATGGACGGGGCCCTCCTTACCATCTTGTCTTGAATTGTGTTGTAACTGTAATGTCTTCCTTATATTGTAAACCGCTGCGCAAACTGTTGGCGCCATATAAATCCTATATAATAATAATACAACCCTGGTAGTTTACGTGAAAATGCCAAGTATCGGCACTGATATCTGAACATCCCTAATAATAGAATTCTGCATTACTGTATCATGTATTGCTGTGAATTGTAGTCCCCTATAGCTGATGCAATAATAATATAATTCTGCAATCATGTATAATGTATTGATGGGATTTGTAGTCCTCTATAGCCGGTGTTATTCTGCATTGCCATAAAATGTATTCCTTGGATTTGTAGTTCATTAACCAGTTGACATCCGGGGTGTTAAACCCCCTTCCCATCCAGGCCATTTTTCAGTATTCAGCGACAGTATTCTGCATTGCTGTGATTTGTAGTCCTCTGTAGCTGATAGTATTTTTCTGCATTGCTGCAACTTGAAGTCCTCTATAGCTGATGGTATTCTTCACTTCTAGATCGTAAGCCCTCAGGGGCAGGGCCCTCTTTACTATCTTGTCTTGATTTGTATTGTGATTGCAATGTCTTCCTTATACTGTAAAGCGCTGCACAAACTGTTGGCTCTATACAAATCCTGTATAACAATAATTATTGCTGGGACTTGTAGTCCTCTATAGCTGGTAGTATTCTGCATTGCTATATCATGTATTGCTGAGATTTGTAGTCCCTCTACAGCTTGGAGTCAGTGGCAAAACTACCAGGGTCGCAGTAGTCGCCGCCGCTGTCCTAAAATCATTAGTCTATAAAATACATTTTGTTACAAATTCAGGCAAACGTTTTGACAAATGAAAGGGCTTTTTTAAAACAAATTTTGTGCATTTTTTAATGCAAATGAACACAAAAAATGTATATGTGTTTATGATTAAATAAATAATATCGAAGGAGAGAAACAATACATTTAAATGACAGTCACATGGCTCGTTTAGAGAGCCGTATTCTTCTGTTAAAGCTTTGTGAATTGAGCCTAATATCTGCATGTGTCATTTTACAGAGCACCGTGTCAATCACATAAATGTTACTGGGGGGGACCATGACAACAATATTTGCCCTTCAGATTGTAGTGTGAGAGCAACAAAAGGGTTTATTTAACACCATGGGTGTAAGATTCAAGCACGAGGCTGGTTCAGGCATTGAAACTATGCTCACGTTTTATCAAGCGCTCAAACATCGAACTCATCAAGAGCTCGGACATCAAAACCACACCCACCATTCAAAAAGACCTCGGGCATCGAAACCATTCACCAAGACCTCAGGCATCGAAACCACGCAAACCATTCATCAAGCTCAGACATCAAAACCACGCAAACCATTCATCAAGCTCAGACATCAAAACCACGCAAACCATTCATCGAGCTCAGACATCAAAACCATGCAAACCATTCATCGAGCTCAGACATCAAAACCACGCAAACCATTCATCGAGCTCAGGCATCAAAACCACACCCACCATTCATCAAGAGCTCAGACATCAAAACTATGCCCACCATTCAAGAGCTCAGCCATCAAAACTATGCCATTGCCCACCATTCATCAAGAGCTCAGACATCAAAACTATACCCACCATTCATCAAGAGCTCAGACATCAAAACCACACCCACCATTCATCAAGAGCTTAGACACTGAAATCATGCCCACCATTCATTAAGAACTCAGATATCAAATCCACATTTCATCAAGCGCACGGACACCAAAGCAATGCCCACTTTTTATCAAGTGCTCAGACACCGCCAACACCTCCACCATTCATCAAGTGCTCACACATTGAAATCATGCCCACCATTCATCAAGCACTGACACTAAAACCATATCCACATTCCATTAAGTGCTCAGACATCTAAACCACACATACCATTCATCAAGCACCAAAGTGATGCCCACCTTTCATAAAGCACTCAGACGTCAAAACCATGCCCACCATTCAATGAGCATTCACCAAGCTAAGCTTCATTCTCTTTCTCTTGGCGAGTGGCTCCCAAATAAAAAGTGCTCTTCCAATGGAAATCTGATGTCATCAATGAAGGACCAACAATGCTGCATTGTAAGTGAGCATGCTAAGGGCCAACCCACACTGAAAATCTTAGAGAAAGCGAGGGATAAGGTAAATGGTACAAGACAATCATGTAACCCTTGCAGAGCTGGGAGAACACAAATGCATTGGTAGGTCTGCAATTCCCCCAGAGTTCAGCTTTAATACTGTTCCTCATGAATAATATAGAGACCGCACGCCCTGTATTTAGCCCTCCCCCCGGCAGTGTGCGCACTCTATTTCCGCCACTGTTCTGGCAATGGAGGCTGCCGGCTCCCCGGTGCTGTACGTGCTGGCGGCACAGCTGTATGCGGTGTACTCGCAGCCCACACTGCCTCTGGTCATCAACACTTGGCCCTTCCGGAGCGCCACACAAGCAGGTGAAAGTTGGAGCCGCGGGAGCGCTCTTTACACTACGCTCTGTCCCGGCTGTGGAAAGACGGGAGCGCGCATTACACTCCCCTTTGTTAGAAGACAGAAGCGAGTGTCTTCTAACAAGTGCCAGGGAATTGGGAATACGAGAGCGTGCATTGTAATCCGCTCTGCCCCGCCGTGGGGAGACGGGAGAGCACCTTTTACTCCGCTCTACCCTGGTGTGGGGAGACAAGAGCGCGTACTTGTAGCTGTCACATGATAACAGTCAGCTGACCGTGCTGGAAATTTGAATTAAACTCCCTCCGTGTTGGAAATGTAGTGGAGGGGGGAGACCAAATTGGTTCATTTCATGTTCATATAACATGGTGTATAAGGGCCGATTCACACCAGATGTTGGGGCTTTGCTTGCCATGTCCAGTGTAGCCCCAACGCAAGACCAGGCTATTTGTCTTGTCACGGACAGACCCTGTTCACACCACCGCATTGCAATAGGAACGCGGTGGTATCAGGGATCCCAACCTGGAAGAAACAATTTCAGGGAGATTCCCTCTCCCACCCCAATCCGCGGTGGGGGGTTTAGGAGGGCTGGGAGAGAGCACCCATCCCCCCCCCGAAATGATGGCAGATAGCACAGGAAGCAATAGCTTATTTGCTATCTGCAGGCTTTTTGTTTTTTAGTATTCTGACAGTTGCAGTCGTCAGAATAAAAAAAAAAAAGACCTGAGAATGCATAGCTAGATTCCTATTGGCTATTTTCACTTTGCAATAGCCCATGGCAAACTAGCCATTGCACCCGCCCTCTGCTGCTTTCAATCACCAGGTCCCCCTCTGCTGATTGACAGCAGCAGTGGGTGGGTGCATTAGCTAGTCTGCTATTGCAAAGTGCAATAGCCAATAGGAATCTAGCTATGCATTCGTATGCCTTTTTCTTTTCTGACTGACTTTTCGGGCCGCGGCTCCCGATGTCTGGACAAAAAAAAAAACGATCGCATGGAAAGGTTTACTCTGCTCGATCGAGCAGATTAAACCTTTCCGGGAGGAAGTGTTTCTCTCCCGGGTGGCTGGGAGCCGCTATCTAATAGCGGCAGACTCCCGGAGCGTCCGGGAGAGTTCGGATGTCTGTGGTGTGCGCTGAAAAAAAAAAGTATCACATGCTGCACTTTTTTCAGTGCAGCGGGCTGCGACGCACTACAACCGTCTTGCACCCTGCTGTGCCCGTAAACCTGAAAGAAATGTCACTTGTGACATTTCAATAAAGTTCTTAAAAAAAAAAAGCACAGTGCTAATTGCCAGGATCGGCACATCTGCACTGTGCCAGGGCAATGCACCCCATATGCTGTGGGATTAGCGCAGTGTCTGGTGTGAATGAGCCCTAAGGCCTCTTCAAATGGGTGGTAAAAACACTGCCCACCCAGGGAGCCCAACCTGAAAAAAGTGATTTCCGGGAGGTGCCCTCTGTCCCCCCGCACCCTCTGAAATGAATGCAGGTAGTAACAAAGCTATTGCTTCCCTTGCTGTGTGCAGTTTTTTTTTTTTTTAGTATTCTGTATTAGTATTTAGTATTCTGCTGTCTGGCTATTCAGGCTTGTATGCAAACATTTTAAACAGCATGTTGGGTTTGTCCGCTGGTGACATTTGACAAACACGGTAATTGCATCCAATACGGCGCAGTATTTCAATTTAAAATCCCCAATGGGATATTTTTTTAAAAAAGAGACAAAAGCGGCATTCAGGAAGTGGCGTTGTCGCCTCTTGGACACTGGGCAGCCACTAAGCTTTGTAACATGAAATCTGGTCAGATGGCTACCCTCCTACGTACCTGAATCACGTGGATCTTCTCCACGCAGGCTTGTGTTATTTTTTTAATTTGGCGTTGCCCGTCCACACAGCTGAGTCATCCATTCATAGATCCATGGACAGGATCTATGAATGGAGAAAGTGCCATCAGAAACTGTAGCTGAGGGACTTGAATTTCTCAATTGAATACCAGTGCAGTGACGTTACCACACTTGAAGTCCGTTCATTCTGCTTCCCATCCATGCTACTGAATGTTCGTAGCAAGGTACAGACATGGATGAGAGGTAGTCTGCAGGAGACAGAGCATTGCCTCTGCTATACACTGATCATGGTTGCAATGCATTACTGGCTTCAATGCAAACAAGCAATACATTAATTTTTTTCCTTTTATGAATAGGTGTGCATGTGTTTATTTTTTCCCCCTAAAGGGTGGAAATTACCTTTTTTAAGGGAAGGTGTTCTACAGAGGTTGGAGTTGCACTCTATTTAGGGACTATGTGTAATGCTGTTCAGATATCAAGTACAAGTTCAGATAATTTCCCAGCTCCATGGCTAGACTAGAGAAAAATTCAAAAGTTAGGAGGCAGCTGTCATTTGTAAGGAGCACACGGGGCTCCTGGGATTTGTACATCTCTGTTTTATGGTATGTTTTTTTTTTTATATAAAGATATATAAGTGATGCACCAATACCATTTTTTCAAGTGCAAGTACTAATACTTGGCCAGGTACTCACAGATACAAGTACTGATACATTTTTGTTCAGTGTCATGTGACAGTTTTTCTAAAACAATACAGACTAATGATTTCAGGACAGCGGTGGAGCGCCAGAGCCAGGTCTCAGCTGCAATCGCTGCAACCCCGGGAGTTCTCAGGAAAATGCCAAGTTTTCGGCACTGGTATCTGAACATCCCTTCATGTGTTAACAGGCTTTGTTAGTTTCGAGCAGATTTTGACTCCATACACAAGTCTATGGGAATGTAAAACCCACTTGAAGGAGGTTAACTTCAGGTTAGATGCACCTATCAATGAATTCTGAATCATCTCAGAAGCGTCATCGAAACAAGTCCAAAGCTCTCCAACATAGGACCTAAATGAATGCTGTTGGGGCTTTGTATGCTTTGTGGCACATTTATACAGTAGGACATGTTTAGTATGTGGTGATAGAACATATCACTGGGACTAGGGTGCCCCTGAGATTGTTAGAGCTTGCTTGATTGTAGAGAATGTGTGCTTCTATTTTTTTTTTCTTCAACACTTTGTTAGTAACTAAAACACAAATTGTTATAATACCTTTTCTTGAGATGCTCTCTGGGGACCTTGTTGACAGCAGAGATTAGGGATATGCCTGGCAGCCAGCTGGATGACTTTAGATCTTCTGGCTACTTCCCTGAAGCCTGTGTGTTCCTCGCTGGCTGGATGATGTGGATCCCAGATTGTGGGACCTCCACCTTTATCACTGCCTTAACTAGTTTGGTGATGATCAAAATAAAGCTGGCCATACAGCAATGTCTGGCCCCATCAGTGCTCTTCCTTTCAACGAAAGTTGATTTTTTTCAATTGACTTTTGTCAAAAGAGCCTGTCCAAAAACTCACAGCTGACCAGCAACTGCAGCCAATCAGCAGAATTCACTGTTTGTGTATTCTAAATACAATAGCCCAACAGGGGAAGTTTCTTCATCCACACTGTGTAGCATGGATGGCAAAACATTTTCTCGTTCAGCAATAAAAACAATTAGTGTTAGCTTAAAGAAGTCTCAGCTTATTTTTCACAGATCGGCCACCTAACTCCCACAGTTTATGTTGCTTTTCATCCCATGCTTCTGTGTGCAGTACAAACTGCGATCCAGACTTGTACAGTTCACTCGTCTTGGTTCCCAACCGCGCTCTGCAAAGGAGATAGACTTTTGATTGATAGCTCTTATCTTACTGTCTCTGCATTTTTACAGACACAATTAGCCCTGGTTCACACCTAGGTGGCACTGTTTTTGCGCGTTTGTACGCGCGTTTACAGCATGCAGTTATTTGCGCGTTGTGCACATTTTAATATGCGTACATGAAGACGTGCGTTTGATTGGCAGCTCATAAACCATTGTGGGCAATTGAAGAGCGTTCGCAAAAACGCGTTCTTGGGCATTTCCAATGAAGTCTATGGGGAGGAAAAGTGCTTTTAACTGCCCAAAGAAGCTCCTGTATCTTTGCAGACGTCTGCCATTTTTCTGCTCAGGTGTGAACTAGGGCCATTGGAAATCATGGGATTTCTTGTGTTGGGCAGTTGAAAGCAATTTTTGAAACTGCTCAAAAAAGGTGTGAACCAGGGCTTACTTTGTAATGGGGCTTTTTTAGGTGCCACAACCACAATAAACAAATATTTTCTCTAAAAATGTATTGTTTTACCATGATATTGTATAAAACTAATTCTCTATTGTGGTTGTGACCCTTAAAAAGCCCCATTACAAAGTCATTGTTTGGTTGGTTGTGATTTACAGGGTGTGGTGCCACCTTACTCCGCAGTGTTAATACATATAGTAGATTTATGAACTTTTACAGGCACAAGCAAGGTCGCAGGAATGAACGAGCACACTTTCAGAGAAATCAGTACAGACACTAGAACTGGAAGAGGAGCCTTGTTTTGTGTGGGATAAGAACTGTCAATTAGGGTCAGTCTCCTTTTGAAAAATGAGGTCGGAAATGAAGGAGTGAAGTCTCCATGATTCTTTAAGGAGAATCAGCACATCACAGTTTTTCAGTTATCTAAAAGTTTGCATGGAAAATCATACAGTTCAAGAATCCAGCCAATTGAATGAATTGAATGATTGTCTGCATATTGGATAAATCCACATTTATTTTCAGATAGAAGTGACATTTCAGGACCCATCAGCTGTTCCAGGGCAGATCGGTTCTCCTGCACATACGATCTGCGATGCCGATCTGCCCTGGAACAGCTGAGAAAGCGTTGGACTCCTTCACCTTTTGCCAGTCACATATTCCACCGCCGAAAAAGTGGGCGTGATTACGTTAAAATGTGTGGCCACGTGACTGGTCACACATTGCAACCCAGTCACAATCTTAGAATACAGGCACCTACCTGCAACAGCTTGCAAATACAGGACCATGCTGATGAGCAAAACCTGCAACACTTCCCTGCAGTGTCAAAGCTTGCCTGCTACCTCCAATACATTTGTACTGACTTATCACTATGTCTGACTGCCTCACTCACCAATAGGAAAGTTTGGGAGGCAGGAAGGGGTGGGAAAGCTTTCATACTAAAAGAGGTGGACAGTTGACAGCGAGAGGGATAAAGTGGAGCCAGAGAGTTCAAGTGATTGCTAGTTGTCTATTGTTATCAGCAAAAACCTAATTACAGGTGTAGAAATATCGTCCTAATACAAATCTGTTTTCCTTTGCAGCATGGAACGTTCTTGCTGCTGGGAGATCTGCTTTAGATGCAGTAGAAAGAGGCTGCACCCAGTGTGAAATTGATCAGTGTGATGGCTCTGTAGGGTATGGTGGAAGTCCTGATGAATCCGGAGAGACTACACTGGATGCTATGATTATGGATGGGTATGCTCACATTACTAATACAAATGTTAGAAGTCACTTTGAATGCATCAAACTGAATGGTTTAATGTGTGCTGGTGTCTCTGCACAAGTCTCTGGCATTCAATGTATTAAAAATCCGATATGGTTATGAGGTAGGTAAACTATTGGTAATGCTTTAGGGCTTGTCCACACCAAATCCGGTGGGTAACAGCATGGGTTGCTGCATAAATACAGCCTCCCTGCGTTCTTGGGTGGGAGGGGGCGTGGTGATGCATTTAAGTCAATGGCAACGCAGTCACACCTCCCCGCCCCACAGTGCCCGAAGGTGTGATCGCAAAAATAGTGCTGGAACGCACTGGATTTGGTGTGAACAAACCCTTAAGGTACCCCTAACTGTAGGATCCATCTGTTCAAAATGACTTATTTGCCACACCTATATCCAAAACAGACACATGTTGATGTTTGGTGCCTATGGAAGATGTTAGTCACACAATAGCAGCATATATTGACATATGTCTTCATTTTTGATCACATAGAGGATGTTCGTAGTCACACAATGAAAGCATACACAGCCATATGTCTTCTGGAACTGGTTTTTAAGTAGAATTAAATCCAGGACAAAGCTTTGAAATCAGGACCAGAGCATCGCACAAATACTTTTTAGGCTAACAGCACTATTGGCAGACACCTCATTTTCCCCCCAAAATAGCTACTTGTAAAAGTTTAAAATGACTCATTTCTTCCTATTAGGTTAACATTCAAGTCTGCTGTGTTCCTCCACTCTGAGTATGAAATATGTTTTCATATTACAAAACATATAGGTTTCCCTATGTACTCGCTAGTTGCTCACCATTGTCTGTATTCCAAGAGGCTGCTGTGATGGAAAGACTCCTATAACCTGTTTCCTGCTCCAGATATTGTGTGTTAGGCTGGCCATACACCGCAGATTCTGCCCAATTCTTGATGAACCAGCCAAAATTTGCTCAGTGGATGCCGCTGTCGGCACCTTTTCAGCCAAATCTCTTGATCAGCAACAGAGCTGGCAGCCAAATGAGCTGTTTGGGTATTTTGACAGCAGCCAGCGCCATAATACAGTGAAGGCAGCTGGAGATTCCTTGATCAACGCTAATAAGCATTGATGGAGGAATCTGTTATATTTTATTTGCTTAGCCGGTGGGTTGAAAGAAGAAAATATTACACTGCATTTGGCAGCTTGAGTCCCGCACTGCTCTTTTAGGCTATTTATATAGCATTTAATCTGTGCCTGTTAACACAAGTATGATTTGAATGAGTTAATCAGAAATGCACCCTTACAATGTAGAAGATAGATTCAATATAACCTCAATGTTTGTGCTTTAAAAGAAGCCCTTATGCATCTAATGTTCTGAAAAAATACAATGTATTCTGCCTAAAGCTATAGTTTTCAAGGCCCAGTTCTGTAAAGCCCCAGTCATTGATTGGATGCTTCCAAAGATGATCTGTGGTAATGAAAGTCAATCCCTCAGTATACATGGGGAAAAATGGTTGTTCAGTTCCTCACTCCAAGATCAATAATTATGGCAGGAAATGTTCAGAAAACCTGAGATGTAAATATTAGCTGATACACTATTGTCTTCTGCTAAATGAATAGAGATAAGCCAGCAGTATTCTGATGGGAGAAGGCCCAACATTCACGGTCACCCCCAAAGCAATACTTCAGTTGTAGCTGGAGTCTGGTGGCAGAGGAGGAAAGCGCTATCTGGAGGGGGGGGCAAGAGGAAGCTTTCGGGCCCCCCCAACAGGCGGAACGCCAGGGCCCGGTCGCAATTGCGACCGTTGCGAACCTGGTAGTTCCGCCAGTGTCTGGTGGGCTGAATTCAAGTAAAGAGTTCTCTTAGAGATTAGACAAAAATAATGACCATTAAGCAGCAATGAACCAAAAACTAAAAATCAGTTTGATGAGGTTTACCCCTTTTCAGTTATACAAATACATCAGGAAAGTGAATAGCATGAAAGCATTACACAGTCATGCTGAGCCTGTTCCTACTGAAACCATGTCATATTTTCTACATTATAGTAGCACTATGAAAGCTGGTGCTGTTGCCAATCTTAGGAGAATAAAGAATGCCATTGGTGTGGCCAGAGCTGTGATGGAGCACACAAAGCACACATTTTTAGTGGGGGAATCAGGTAAGCTATCTTCTTTGTTCCAGGACAATCTAGAGATTAAAGTGATATAGTGATTAAGAATTCTCGTATGATTGATTACAAGTTTTAATAACTGCAGTTTGACATAAAAAGATAATTTTTTTGTTTTGTTTCCCACTTCTGTCATTAATATAGTACACAGAGGCGCCTCCTGGCCAATCAGGGAGGCGGGTCTTTACCTGCAGCCTCCATAATGTTTGGCCGTCTCACTGCTGATTGGCTGGGAAGCCGGCTTCCCGGTCAATCAGCATGGAGCAGGCCAAACAGCATGGAGCCGGCTTTCCAGGCCATTTAGGAAGCCAGGCTGTGAGTCATTACCCGCGGCCCAGCTTCCTGATTGGCCGGGAAGCTGGCTCCATGTTCCCTCGTGGCACTGCTGGTCGGATACATTTTCTAAATAAATGGACACTTTTACCCCACGCAAGTGAGAGCACCACAGACCTTCCAATAGAAATATTTCAACTGGAGTAGTTCAATAAACTTAAGCACAGAGCAAAGAGGACCTGTTTAACATTGTCATCAGGATACACTCTGATATATAGGCGTGCATAAATACATGAACATTTGCCTGGGTGACATGACTGTTAGCCTCCCTGGAAATGACTTGTCCTCCCACACTAGTAATTCATTTTGAAATGATTGAGGCTGAGCTAAACTCTGGTAGCTCCTTTGTTGTATGTTTATAACCTTGGAAGCTAGCCATCTGCATAGATTGTTTCTAAAAGACTGTGAGGAATCTGTATGAGAAATCACCTTTACAAGTTATAGCTAGTAAAACCATAAAATAATCAATAAAACTAAGCGTACTCTGTTGTCTGTGGTGTTTTTTGTTATCACTATAAAAGCTACATTTAAAGAAAAGAAACAAGTACTAAAAGTATAATCATTTATACATGTTTGCGAGCAATAAATGGTATTTAAAGGAAAACTCCAATTACCATTACCGCTGTTAGCCTCATTTAATTTATTTATCTATTTTGTTTGCATTTTTATAAATTAATGTTTTATAGCATTTATCTTATTTTATATAGTAGAAAATAAACTTGCCTGATCTTCGGTCCTGCAGCGGTGACCGCTCACCTTTCTTTCCCTCCGCTCTGGCGGTGGAATGTCCCCCGAGGTCTTCCCTTCTAATGCAGCTGCATTAGACATGATGACGTGACAGGTCCTTCGACCGCCAGACTCTAGCAGCCAAGCAGAACCAAGGATCAGCTGAGTATATCATCTTTATTTCAGCCCCTAGACCCAAACGAGCAGTTAACCTTTGCAATGCAAGGTAGCACCACTGCAAGGGTTAATTTTTAAATTGCCAGGAGTTCTTTTTTGAAAATATATGTTCACTGAGGATACACAATACTTTCACTTTAAGGCTTAAGAGATCAAATTGGAAGTTTGAATAATTTCTATGGACTCTTGTTCCTTGCATTATTTTATCAAGACGTGCCAAAAGAGAATATTCAAAGAAACAAGAAGTCGAGTTTCTTGGCCGATAGCATAATAGGTTTTTCCAGGTTTAGTTCCACTTTTGTGCTCCTGCTCAAATTTATTTTAGAAATAAAGCATATCAGACAAGTTCAGTTATACAAAAGCATATTACAGCTGTTCAATGATATTTGAACCAGTAACACTAGGAAGAGGAGAATAGTAATTGCATTTTTATAATGGGATTCTTCTGATCATTATAAAAGTTGACAGAGCTTCACGCTGATATTAGAAGACACATTTTGTTGGCTCTATAAACCTACCTTACATTTTAAAGGACATTTGAATTTTGCTTTACTAACTGGTATTTGAAAAATATTTTTTTTTTTATGAGATCGCAAAATAGCAGGATAATAGCAATTAAAACAAGACAGTAATTTATCCATTATATCGATTTTAGCATCCTTGTTTGCTGAGAGTATGGGCTTTGTATGTGAAGACTTAACAACCAACAGATCACTCTCCATTTATTCAAAGTGGCTTGAACAGCACTGCCAACCCAACTTCCGTACGGTAAAGTCTAATCTATTGTAATCAGATATATTCTTCTGGCAACTAGGTATATGTTCTGCTTATATAAATTTCCTGCTGATCCACGAAGAAGAAAAAAAAAAAGTACATGCCTAAAACCCTTATTGCAGTTGAATAGCAACAAAAATGTGTAAGATGCCATCTGTTGGCCAGGATAGGATGTTCTATCTGATGCTTTGTGATTGTGTGCGATATGAACATGAAAACTGCACTGGACAAGTCTTTTTGGCAATATGGTATTTTTTGTATAATTCACCAGGGATGCACCGATACCAAGTACAGTACTTGGTACAAGTACAGAAACTTTTCGAGATCCTAGACTAGAGAAAAATTCTAAAGTTAGGAGGCAGCTGTCATTTACAGTGTTATGTGACAGTTTTTCTAAAACAATACAGATTAATGATTTCAGGACAGTGGTGGAGTGCCAGAGCCAGGTCCCAGCTGGAATCGCTGCAACCCTGGTAGTTCTCATGAAAATACCAAGTATCGGCATTGGTACTCGAAAAGTATCGGTGCATCCCTATAATTCACTCTTGCCACCATTTTTGTGTGAGATCCTTCTGTTGGTCAGTTTACCTACCAAAAGCAAAAACAAAAGAAGGCACCCACACCTTGTTTTTAGGCATTCCTATATACTGGACAGTAACTGGTCATAAGAACATGGTCTGACGGCAGAAAGATCTTTTCATGACTTAATATAGTTTGAATATTCTACAATGTTTTAGTATAACGAACACTGTCCTTGCTAATTTGTGCACTGACAATTGAGAACAATGAGCTATTAGGAAAATTTCCAGTCTGGATTAATACAATTTCTAATATTGTGGTATGCCAGTCATCTGATGAATTTGTACATATTCTGGATGTTGTCTTCTCATCGCTCTTAAATCAGATACCAGACAGACAGGTACTTTTATATCTAGCTTGAATATTAGGTGCTTAGGTTAATTTTTCATTCCTTTTGACATTTTGTGGCATACAAAACTCGCATGTAGATGCAAAGATGCCCTGGGCAAAAGAATGATTGGTTCCCAGTCTAACTGTAACTGGCACTGGTCACCTATGTCTGACACCTTAACATTTGTCAAGTGTGACCTTTGCTTACACTTTGGCAGACCAATCTGAGAGGAAGAATTGATTGGCCGGGTCAGATTTTACCTTGCTATTTTCCTTTGAGATCAGCCAGCACTAAGGGAAATCCTCGTACTCACCATGCTTGCTCTTCTATAATTATAAAGATGCATGCTAGTGCAGTCTGAAGAAGCTTATTTATGGAAATATTGGAAAATCACTCTTCTGCGCTTAGGATATAAGGAGATACCGCACTGGGAGCGCCTTCCTCTCTGTTTGACATGCATGGATATGGAGATTACTACTACCAAGAAGATCAGGATCGACCACTAAGGAGAGTACAATATTCTCTATGGAGAATCAGTTTGCTTTTTCTGATTGACTAATACACTATCTGGCCGTTGACACGGTCAATGATTCTAATTGTTCCCACCGGAAAGAATACGATCGAATACTAAGGAGCGCATAAAATTTCCCGTGGAGAAGCAGGCTCTCATCTGATTGACGAATATGCTATCCGGCCATTTATACGGTCAATGTACCTATGCAGTACCTATGGGGGATCTATACTAACACAAAGGAAGGGATCAACATTCATGACAGGGAACTACCCTTCTTGGAACACATTTTTTTCTGATCCACAGGACATTCACTCCTTGATACTTTATAATATTTCTTAAAATATTTTTGCAACATTTAATATTGTCAACACTATACAAATGATTGACTCATTGTTTGTTAACTTGCATACTTTTATGCACAGGCACAATTAGACCACAACATTTGTATGTATTCTATTCTATTTTGTTGAAACAGGTTATTTAGCACTTATTGGTCCCTCAATAGGGTCTTTAGCGCTGTACACATAATTTTAGCATTTATGGAAATCTTGTTCACAAGAAAGATCTTTAGATAGTAAGATTACAGGAGTCTGGCAATAATGGCAAATTAAGTATATTGTGATTTTTTTTATTTACAGAATGTGACTCCAGACCCAGAAAAATCTTGTGGTCCTTATAAGCCTTTGAAAGAATTAAAAAATGGCAAACCACCTTCTCTTCAGAAAGCAGTAGATGTGCACAGTCATGATACTATTGGTACGAAAGTTTTGCAAGTCCATCTAAAATCAGCATGCTGGTTATCCCTTTATATATGGCATATCTAGATTTTATAATTTCATATTTTTCTTAATTAGGAATGATTGGTGTGGATAAAAATGGAAACGTGGCAACTGGAACATCAACCAATGGAGCATCTCACAAAATTCCTGGGTGAGTGACTGACATGACACATTTAAGTAGTCCTACCCAAACACGGGCAACATTAAAGCTGAACTCCTTCCTTTCCCTCCATCTGGCACAGTTGTACAGGCCGCTCTTTTGTCATGAAATTGCTTGCCAAGTTTTCATTTTAGTTCCTTTAATCATGGAGGCTTGGCATCAAATGTAGGCATTACAACAGTTTCCTGTTTTCAGGGAGCTATGTACAGCAGCACCCTGCTGGTCCTTCCACTAGCCAAGATCTACATGCATTGCATACAGTAACAAGGACACCTAATGATGATGTTACCAGGTCTATAATAAGGACTGTAAATGGGTTTTATTTTATAATGTTTTTAGTATGTTGATGAGGAGGGAATGGTGGAATCATATGAGGCAAAGTATAAGCAGATTATAATTCAATTTAATGTAATCTATGGTCTTCTGAGAAAAGAGGAATCAAATCTAAGCACAAATTTACAGCAGGCGCTAAACAGGATTGAATAGACCAGTGATTAAAGTGGAACTTCAGGCAAACTGCTCTATATACATACGTGTGTGTGTGTATGTGTATATATATATATATATGTATGTATGTATGTGTGTGTGGGTGTGTGTGTGTGTGTGTGTGTGTGTGTGTGTATTATATATTTTACACAAAATATATAAATCGTTTCTTTTTGACTAACGGGATTTGTAATTTTATATAACCATCTTTGTAATGTACCTTTGAAACATTGTTTATCCATAAAACCACTCTTTTGTTTACAGATTCAATTTTACTAATCCCTTGTTCATACAATACAAGCACAAAAGTGTAAAACCAGCCCTAATCAGTTTAAATATAAAATTACTGCCACTATTCCCATCCAAGGGAAATTTTAAAAACGTGGCTTGTTTAGAGTACCCTACATCTGTAAACTGGAATAGCAAATGAAAATGTTCTTGCCTTACAGCATTGCAATTGACAAGTACACTTCAAAAGGGTGTCAGTTCTAGGACAAGTTCATAGTATACTATATTAGAGATTATATCAATTATAGATTTCAGTTCCATAGTAAAGGTCACAATAACCTTCAGTTTACAAAGCCGTCTGTATGGCGAACAGAACAAGCAGCACTTTGTCGATGACCGGTGTACTTGTTATCTGTCCGACCTGTGACATCCAAGCAAGTGAAGCCATCCTTCTCTTTAATACTGTGTACCATAACCACCAGTATGAGGTTTGCTAGTTACATAGTTAGTCAGGTTGAAAAAAGACACATGTCCATCGAGTTCAACCTATAGAGATATGAAAAGAAAATAGACAGAATGCTATGCCTCCAATTACCCCCTGTTAATCCAGAGGAAGGCAAAAAAAACCCCTATAAAGCATGGTTCAATTTTCTCCAACAGGGGGAAAAAAAAAAAAGATCTTTCTCCATCATTGACTCACCCAAACATACTCCCCCTAGA